AGGCAAATGGGATGTGAGGCATGATCTTTTAGACAAAATGATGTCCAATAAGAAAGAAGCTTCATAAGGGTAGAATTTCTGGTTTGCCCACTACAGTATTGCCAACATTTAAAATAATGCCTCCCACATACAAATAAATACCTAATTGTTTAATTAAATGTTAAATGAATTGGAGCAGGGAGTAAAACTTCATAATGTGTCACTCAGTTATGACCCAATCCACTTGCTGCCTAATGTGCAGGCATGCCCCATAACAACAGACCACATATATGACAGTGGTCCAAAATTATATCATCTAGTGATATTGTAGCCATCTGGACTTGTGTAAATATACTCTATGATGTTCGGACAATGAAATTGCTTATTGACACATTTCTCAGAATGTGCCCCACCATTAAGTGATGCCTAGTCAGATACACCGACAGCTTGAGGAAAGACTACAAAAGTCTGCTTACCAAATCAGTCAACAACATCTAACTGGGAGAAATTGTGAATATGCTGGATGACTCAATTCAGATAGCAAACAGAAGGAACACAAAGCTAGAAAACTGGACTCAAACCAAGATGAAGTGCAATGCACATGAATTCCCTCCCACATACAGGCTGAAATAAAGTCAAATGTAGAATTTCAGGATGGAGGATGCCTGGCTCAACAGCAGCCCTGAGGAAAGGCCTGGAAAGCTGAGGTTGGAAGCAGCCTGAGTTAGCAACATTTGACTCCGCTCAGCCGAATGGAGTGTCCAGAATAGAGGCAAAGTGAGGATGGTTCTCCAGTGCCATTAATAGAATGTCACAGTCATCTGGGGTCTCACAGAGGTCAAATGGTGCAAGCCCCGAGAAAAATGGATAAAGAAGTAAGTAAGGAAATATACTGAAAATATACCTCCCGCCCACCAAAAAAAAAAAAAAAAAACAGTTGTTATCAAAAGAAAGGAACTCACAAAGGATATGACTGTCTTCCTGTGTGCAGAGCTGCCCTTAGTTCTGTGTACAACCAAAGACAAATACAGGCCCAACAGAAATTAAAAACTGCCTTTAAAAGGGCTAACCATCTAGAGCTGTTGAGAAATATAAACAGCTATCTTAGGAAGTTGTGGTTTCTCAGAAACTGAAAGAAAAGAGATGAGAATTTATAACCAATTCCTAACCAGAAAACCCATCTACCTCAGTTCTTCCTCATGATAATCCAAGTTAATAACTCTTATAACTCACACTATCTGTACCTGTATGCAGGAGGTTAATTAGCAGAGGAAAGTTGAAATACAGAATCCTAAAAGATGGTACATACATACCTTACATATTAATTTTAATTACATACATCTGAATGTTTTTCCCCCTGCCCTTGATGTTGAACCAAGTCTTTCATTTAAAGATAGATCCGCTAATTGGCATCCGCATGGTGTGTTTTTCAGAAACTCTACCTCTTTGTATTGGCCATGATTTCTGGTTTCCATTCTTCAAGATGGAGAGAGAGCTTAACTCCCATATGCATGAATCTGAATGGAAACTTTCACCAGGTTTTTCTCATTTTTCCCAGGCTTTTATAGTCATCTCCTAATTCGTAAGACAGGTTTTTTAAATCATTTCACATGCTTCAAGTCTTTATATTGCATTCAACAATTTAGAGAAGGTAGAAATAATTCCATTTCCTTTGGCATTCACATTTCACCAATTTAAAGTTTGATTAAATTATGTGGTATATGAAGAGTAGAACTGGCATGAGCAGATTTAGGGAAAAATAGGACTGTGGGTCTGCCTGCCCCTCAGCTGCCGGAGCACTCACGGGAAGTTTAATGGCTGTCTCCAGCCAAGGCTGTTTGCATGTGTGGACACCCAGCAGCTTATAGCATAGATGGAAAGAGTCAGGCTGCAGAAATGGTTCACTGGAAATCTTTTTAGAGGCAAGAAAGTTCTACCTTTTGATGCTCAAATGTCCTGACCTTGGAGAAATTAAACAATTTGCCACATATCAATGAGCTAACAAGCCTTTATTTTAAGTCTACAGTCTCCACTGAGTGACGACAGCAGAGTTTGAGAAAACACTGAATGTACAGCTGTCCTTAAAATTGGGAACAGGGTTGCTAACTGGTCCCTCCAACTTGGAATTCATGTGGCTCTTTTTCAATTTTCTGTAAGACTTTGTGTTTGGGACTAAAAAAAATATAATAATAAAAAAGTGCTATTTTAAACATCTAGTCCTAATAGGGCATATCTGCAACTATATGTGTTGGAGATATTAGGAGAAAATATCAAAAGTCTAGACCTCAAACTAAATGTAAAAAGATGTTTCTGAAAACATTCTGGAGAAATCTGAGTATGAGCCAGAATTAGATGATTTATGGAGCATCATTTTTATTCATATAAGAGATTAATTTTAATGCTTGGGACCAAAAATGTTCCAGATTTAGGATTTTTAAATATTTGCATATACATATTGAGATATCTTAGGGATGAGACCCAAGTCTAAGTGCAAAATTCACTTATGTTTCGTGTATACCTTATATACAGCATAAAGGCAATTTTATGCTTTTGGGGGGGGTGGGGGAGGCAGCACTGGGGATTGATCCCAAGAACTCAAACATGCTAGGCAAGTGCTCTACCACTGAGCTATATAACCAACGAATGCAATACTTTTGATAATTTTGTGCATGAAACAAATTCATGATAAGGAATTTTCAACTTGTGACATTACAGTTTCCGATCTGTAGCATTTCAGATTTGGGATTCCCATGTTAGGGATACTCAATATGTACCAAGAGGTTATTATTATGCTCTAAAAATGTCACGGATATTATGAAGAAAATGTTCCATGTGTGGGAAGATTTACTAGAATCCTGAATTTCACTTGAAAAATATTTCAGCAAAGGCAAATACTAAAGGAAAATATGATTCTGTGAAAAAACTATAACAAAATCTTGAACCTAGGTAGTGGATAAACAAAGGCTTTTTATACTATACCACTTATTTTGTACATGTTTACAGGTTTTTCATAAGAAAAGGAATTTAAAAGTTTAAACTTGAGGCACCCCATGGTCATGAGGTGAAAGTCATCCACCATTACCGGGCCTCACACATCACAATGCGTCAGTGGTAAAGACTGGACCGGGTCAGGACAGGCCTTCCCAGGCATAGAATCTGTTTCCCAAAAGGTCCAGCAATATCTTGAGGAAATGAATGCAAATACACAACTCAGCATCTTAAAGAAGTGGATTCCAGGACTGCATGCTTCACAAAAAGTTATCACATAATACAATAATCACAAAATTTTCACACTGAAAGAACCCAAAATAGCATCTTCAGTCTTTGGATCCCAAACTTCAAGCGTTCTCCAGGGAGCTTAGGAAAAATGCAGATTTCTAGACTATAATCCAGACCATGAACAGACTCAGCATTAGCAGAACCCTGAAATCTGTGTTTTATTCTATTCTCTAATGATTCAGAAGCCCCAGAATGGGGGCCCTGGAACTTTTTGAAGTGGATTCACACGTCCAATTTCATAAAAGAGGAACGTCACCTAAAAGTGTCCTATAACCTGCCCAAGGTCACCATCCCTGCCGCTCAGCTCACTTCCCACAGCCTTGCCCTCTGCCTTGGGTGGGGAAAGCTGCTCTTCCTGGAGACCCCTCAGATGGAGTGGGCCCTGGGGCTCCAGCTGCCCCCAGAAAGAAACGCCCAGATCTCCATCTCGTGAGACACTTGCTTAGGCTCTGGGGGTCCCATACCATTCCGGGGAACCCCAGTGTGATCGACTTATCCTGGCTCTTCCCATCTTATGGTGTTGAGTCCCAATCACCCAGCTTCTTCCTGAGATTCTGCCTTGGTGATATTTAGCCCCTACGCAGCCCTTAACTGGGAGAGGTTCTAAAAGGAAAGAAGACAAGGAAGAGTCAGAAGGTATCTGTTACAGCCATTATTTTCCACTCAGGACCCTATTTTACATTTTCCCTTGAAGCCCATAAATTGAACCTTGAGGGAGGGGCCCAGAAACCACAGCAGGGAGTTCATTAAAACAGGACGGGTTGCCAGGAGCCAAGCAAGGTGAACCACTGCCCTCCAGTGGCTGTTCTGAGCCATCGCAGGCTGCCTTCCTGTTCCCGAGCACCTGCCTCACCTAGGTGAAAGACTTGGCGTGATAGAGCAGGTGGAAGAATCAACCCTTCCCTTCCTTTTCCTAAAACTATCTTATTTATTTTACTAGATATACCTTCACATGGTACAAAAGTCATTAAGTCCAAACAGATTCTGGATTCTGATGAGTGCTTAGTTAGAGGTCTCCACTGAATGCTTCATAAAAATTAAAAAGGGCTGGGGAGATAGCTCTCACCATCATCCCACCCACTTTTTTCTTATCCTACAGGACTCTTTCCAAGTGCTCAGTGATGGCTCCCACATCTCAACCCTTATCATTTACTACAAGTCTGGGCTGATTCAAAAGCACCTAAGACCTGAGGCCAAATTCTGCAACTCCTAGTTCTAAACAGTCCTGAGTACCATCGGATGATGTGAGTCATGTCTGATTTAGCCTCAGCTGCCCACAGTGCCCAAATGTTCCTACTAAGTGAGAAATATAGGTTGGACAGACTCAAATAAAACCTCATGGCAAAATGGTTACAACCTTCAAGCGGGTGTCCAAGGGAAGCAATGGAATTTCCTCTGGAGATCTTTGCAACTTGATTAAGTTATAAAAAGTAGGTCATGTATAATAATAAATCCATAATACAATAGAAGACAAAGCAAAGGCCAGGCACGATGATGCATACATGTAATCCCAGCAACTCTGCAGGCTGAGGCAGGAGGATCATGATTCTAGGCAAATTTGGACAACTTCATGATACCCTCCTTGAAAATTAAAAAAAAATAAAATCAAAAGGGCTGGGGAGGTAACTCAGTGGTAAAGTGCCCCTAGATTCAACCCCTAGTACCAAAAACAAAACAAAACAAAAAGGGTGGGGGGGATTACATGCTTAAGTTTTAAACTAAAAAAGAAGACAAAGTGGGATGGGGTTGTGGCTCAGTGGTAGAGCGCTCGCCTCGCAAGTGCGAGACCCTGGGTTCAATCCTCAGCTACCACATAAAAATAAATAAGTGAAATAAAGGTATTGTGTCCAACTACAACTAAAAAATTAATTTTATAAAAAGACAAAGTAAAAACTAGTTAATGTGGACTAATTAACCTGGGGACTGCCTTGCATTTGAAATTTCTTTCCAAAATGTATTGACTATGTGTTTTGCTATAAGTATTTATTGCTATAAGTGTTTATAAGGTGGGTCTATCTCACTTATTTAGGTGAACTACATGTGCCACACTTTATAATTCTTTTATCAGAATAATAATTTGAAGATTATCAGGCAAAATACTTACATTTTTTTCTTCATAAAGAAAAGAACCAAAATATTAGCTGGTTCTTCCTTAAGTGATAGTTTTCATAACTAATTGGATGCATTACAGTTTCAACTGCTGAGAGCCACAGCTGAGTTGGAATGACGCATGACATTTTTGCCAGAAGGAGTGGTTGAAAGGTGACGCCAGGGAGACATTGAGATGATGATGGTTATGTTAAGCTGTGTATTCAATTATATATTAGACCCCTGCTGTCTGCCTTGGGGCCGCTACTTTGGAGTTCTCGAGCCAGGATTCCTGGAGAGTTCGTGTTGGTTGGGGAAGTGCTGGAGGAGGGATTTCCAGTTGGTGTGGTGTGTCCCTGAGAAGGCCGCATGGGTGGCATTCTCCGGGAGTTCTGAAATAAAGTTTGTTCCTTCTTGAGTGGCTCATGATTCCTGCCCAGCCAGACTTCGGCATTTAACTTTTTTCTTTGTTATGATAATGATCAGTTTAAAATCAGCCAAGGAATTTTCTCTTTGATTTTCAATGATGTGCAAAAGGAAGTAACTAGTTGGCAGTATTTGGTTTTAAGGAATCAAATAATTTTTTTATAGAAAATGGAAAGGGATATGGGATTGTGAAATGTTAGAATTAGTATCTGAGAGATGAAACTCTAGCACAATCCCTTTATATGTGTGTGTGTGTGTGTGTGTGAGAGAGAGAGAGAGAGAGAGAGAGAGAGATGGGGAAACTGAGGCCCTGATAACAGAAGTGGCTTGCCAACGGATGGCCCCTTACTTTTTTCTATATTCCACCTGCTGGGGGTACAGGCTGAGAGCCCCAAGTCTCTGAGATTTCATTTTCATTCAGTAGCTTCCTAGCTGTGAAACTTTAGGACATCAGACTAATCTTTCTAAGACTCAGAATAAATAAGGAAGTTGGACAAAATGACATCTATGATGCACCAATTTACCAAAAACCCCTCCCACATGCATAACACTCAACATTAACTATCAGCACCCACAGATTTGCAACATCATCTGTAATATGGAAACCGACCACACCCTCCTGACATTGGTTTTCAGCAGAAACCCTTTCATCTACCCTGGTCTCTAGTTCTCATCCATCTCTCATCCATTGTTTTGCAGCTGTAAAGTAATTTCCTCCACAGCTGGGCCTGACCCCAGGCTGCCTTCCTATCCACTAATCCATGCTGATATTAAGCAACCAGACTCTGCACAGCTGGCTCAGACATCTTTCCTAAGCAATTTGCTTCTGGAGATATGTACAAATATATTCACAAGCCTCTACAGTGGAGTAAAGATCCATTCATCCTGTGAATTACAGCTACTTGCATAGAGAGCAGAAAAACCTGTTCACCCCAGGCCCACAAATGAACCAAAAGATACAGGGGAGCCACTCCACAGTCCTAGGGCACAGAAGTTCTCTCCACCCCTAGAAAGATTTAAGGGAAGCTGAGCCTCTAGCAAGTCTAGCTGAGATTTAGGTGTCTGGTTTGCTCCCACAGGGCATCTAGAGAGTGTTTTAACAGCTGCCTGGATTGCCTCAAGAAAGGAACTCTCCCTCCAGCAATCCAGAGAGCAGCCCATCCAGCCTCACTCTTTCCATTTTAAAGGGCTTCCTCCAGCTTCCACCCACACCTCCAGCCCCACCCAACTTCATCCCCTCTCCACCACCTTTCTCTTGAGCTCCACTGCCTCCTCCCACCTTGCTCCCAGTTTCTACTATTAAAGAAAAAAAAATTGTCCAAGACACTTGAAAGGAGGCTAAGGTAGTAGCAGAGAGACTGAGCTTGTCTCCAAGCCCTGGGCCTGCCCTGCCAGGAAAGTGAAGCTTTCTTGGGCTGGGGATGTGGCTCAAGTGGTAGTGTGCTCGCCTGGCATGTGTGCGGCCCAGGTTCGATCCTCAGCACCACATACCAGCAAAGATGTTGTGTCCACTGAAAACTAAAAAAAAAATAAATATTAAAAAAAAAAGAAAATGAGGCTTTCTTGATGGTGGCAGCTTCTCCAAACAACAGATTTCTTCACCAAATTTTCATATCTCAGGGCTGAAGTCACCCTTTTTAGATTTGTCCATCCACAGGAACACTCTCTCCAAAATGGAGGCTAGCAGATCTATGATATTCTGGAACCTTCTTTTCCCCAAAACCTGGGCTGTGTCCTGTCCTTCCCTCCCTGCAGCCCCCCAGGACCAAGGTCTGTATGGAGCAGCCTGATACCCCCTTTAGGCTGTGTATAGGTAAAGGCTACTCCCTGACCTTTTCACAGACAGGAAACAAGAGACAGAGGCGCCATGTTGTGAAAGTCAGCCCAGACCCTGGAGCAGAGCCCTATAGTACCTGGAGTATCCTGCTGAATGACATGTGTCCTTGCCCTCACACACACCCCTTAACACACACATCCCTTAACACACACACCCCTTCTGCGATGTGAGCCCACCAGGGCTTTGTCAGGTGGGTGGCAGTGACGTAGGACAAAGCAGCCTGTGCGTGAAAGAAACATCAATCAGGCGCCCACAGAAATGCCTGTGGATCAGCGGGATCTTCTGGCCAATCCTGGAGTTCAGCCTGACCAACTCCAGTGGGACAAGGGACTCTAAAAACACCCTTTCCTGTCCCAAGCCCTTCCCTTCCTGCAGTAAGACCCATAAAATTCCACTCCGGTCAAGTTCCCAGGCGGTTTCTCCTCAGATCCTTTTCCTGTCCACTCTGTCCATCTGATCGAGTTCCGCCCTGGACGAGTCTCAATAAAGCCTCATTTGGCAGTCCTTCTAAGTCTGCCTCCTTTGGTGGCCACCCGCCTTGCCTGATCTCACAGACTTAATGACCTCCCCTGGCTAGAGGTAAAATACCTGGAACTGACCCATCCCCAGGACACAAGAGCAGGTGGTAGAACCTGAACTCAAGCAGTCTACTTCCACACCTTCCTTCCATGCTTCTCAGTCAGAATGTCCTGGTGTGATGAGATGCTCCAATTATTTGAAATCTGTTTTTCAAATAATAATTAATCTTTGTCATGTGGGATGGGTTGGCAATGAAGGGTGAGGTGGAGATTCGTGTCCTTCCTTCGCATCCTCAGATTCTGATGCTAATTCTTCTCCCCAAGTCCACCTCTTTCACCACTTCCAACTCCACCCTCCAAGCCACTAACTTCTCTTGCAACAACCTCTTTGAAAGTGAAAATACATATACATCAGTACACATATTCTGTTGACTGTCAGAGTTCAAAAGAAATAGCATTTGTGAAAACATTCGTTCCCATGTCTGGCATGGTCTAGATGCTCAAAAAAAATATCCTTTAGGGCTGGGACTGTGGCTCAGTGCTAGAATATTTATTTGCCTCGAAGGAGCGAGACCCTGGATTTAATCCTCAGCACCACATAAAAATAAATAAGTGAAATAAAGGTATTGTGTTCAACTACAACTAAAAAATAATTTTAAAAAATGTCCTTTTGATATAAAAAGGAAATAATAACAAGGATTTGCTAAATTGTGATATTAATAAATGTCACCTCTAGGTAGTCTATCCTCCTGTCCTCTGATTTCTCTGTAATCCATTCATGTGCAGCAGTCAGACCGGATTTTTATAAGCATGTATCTGATTATGTCTAACCTTGATGTTCAAGAGAAATGGATCAGCACCAACAAAGACTAGCCCAACTCTTGTGAACAAAGTGAGGATTCAGGGGCCCCCTTCCCCTTAGGAGACCTAAGGCTTGTTCCATAATGGCTTCTCTTTTTTAAAAAATATGATTTAGTTGTAAATGGACACAGTACCTTTATTTATTTGTTTTTATTTTTATGTGGTGCCAAGGATGGAACCCAGTGCCTCACACATGCTAGGCAAGTGCTCCACCACTGAGCAACAACCCCAGCCCCTCCATGATGGCTTCTCTATCAGCCATTGGCTTGAGGACTCCAGCTGTATGATACCTGTAAAGTGAGTCAACCCTACTTATGGGCCATGGCTGTACCTGTACCTCTCAGCCTCTCACACAGTGTGTAGTGGGAGCAGCTTCAGAGACTTAGAACTGGAGTTTCACTGAGCTCACAGGTGAAATTTGCATAAACGGATTGTAAAAGTATTTTAAACATACGTCTACATGGGCAAAATTTGGTCTGAAGCCATGTAACACTTACCCACCATTATCTACCTGCTGTGTTTTGAATGACCTCACCAAAACTCATATTGAAATTTAATCCCCACTGTCAGGCATTAAAAGGGTGGAAACCTTAATCCAATTATGGTTAATTAATTAAGGAGGGGGGGCCTTTGGAAGGTAATTGAGGTTAAATGAGGCCCTAAGGGTGGGGACCAATCCTCTGGGATTGTGGCTTTATAATAGGAGAGATTTGAGCTAGGACTTCTGTCTTTCTAACCATACCCTGTGACCCCCTTGAAATTCTCATAGTCACCATCAGCAAGAAAGACTTCACCAGATTTACCTTATATTGAACTTCCCAGCTGTCAGAACTGTGAACTGAATAAACATTTATTCTTTATAAATTATTCAGTCTATGGTATATTCAGTTATAGCAATAGAATGCAAACTAAGACACCAACACTATTTACTTCCTCCATAAAAAAGAATTTGATAAAAGTTCATGTTTTCAACAGAGGAGGAGAAGATGTACATCAGGGCCAAGAGGATGTAGAGGGTCCCCAGGTTAACCCTGAAATTCACAAACCTGTGGCTCCTGGAGCAAAGTTTTACCTGCAAAGAATC